CTTAGAGGCCATCTCCAGAGGACCACAAACCAAACGCCTACAAGCATCTGAACAAAGAGCCACATGTATAATTAACAGGGAGTGATGGAGACTGGCAAACTCTCAGGCCCTGTCATCTTTAATAAAAGCCTCCATTAGTGAAACAAAAACCTTGCAGGTGGGTTGTGGCCTCAGATGGTCAGACGCTCTCGCTTTACAAGGAAGGAAACTTAACAACTTTTTTGGAATGTTCACCACGTGCTAGACAGCATTCTGAGCACTTTAGATGTATTAACGCATTGAATTCTCACGAGCCTAGAGGTTGGCACTGTTACTGACCCCATTTTAGAGACAATAAAACCGAGTCACAGGAAGGTTGTGTAACTCGCCCAAGGTCACACACCCAGTGACTGGGGAGCTAAGATTCTAAACCCAGGCAGCCTGGCCTTGTCTGCTGGGCTTCACTGGACTCTCCCTGAATGTGCTACTTGGCACGTCTGGCTTGTGGCCTAACATCGGTCAGGTTAGCCTCCCTTATGCCTCAAAGTAATGAATGGGTACTCCGGTCTTGGGAACTACTACTAGGGCACAAATGATGGAGTCAAGGAATGTAGACCAAGGGAGTCCTAAACAAAAAGCTTCTCTATTGAGTATGAAGTTTAAAGAGAGAGCAACACAGGCTGGCAATCCTAGCCCCCTGCTCATAGGCATCATAATACATTCTTCCAGGGGGAGAATATACACTAAGGTGTTTTTTAGCATAAAACCAAGTGCTTTTATTTTTATAGTTACCCAAACCAACTCAGATCCTTCATAAAGAACCAGCCCTCCAGGGCTGTTGGGAAATTGCTTACTGAGCTGGCTAAACTAATAAAAATCTTGGGAACGCTGCCCCTCCCAGTTCTCCACCCCTCCTGACTCATCACCTCTACTCCGCTCCTCTGCTCAGCACTTCTCTCCTGGTTTAACTGGGGTAGGCTGCGATCAAGGCCACGGCTACCTGCAATGGGACTCAGACACTAGGCCCATTGTTGCTTCCCTTACAACTGACCTTGCCTGCGAACGTGGAGGCTGACAGCCAGGCCAGGCCCGGCCCATGGCAGCCGGGTGATTTAGTGGGTACCGGGCCAAGGCTGACTCAGGACACCTCCACAGTCATCTAACCCCCAGGCAGGTCCTGAGCCTCTGACTCACGTGCTCATCTCTGAGCCTATCGAAGCGTCCCAGTAAATGGGTTGGGCACAGCAGCACATTCGGAGCTTGTCACCTAAACCCTTGTTTGAAGTCCCTGGGAGAGTTATCTCATCAACTTTCAAAGTACAGCCAGCCTCGAATGGCTTCTGCAGGTTCTGCTCTGCCTGGCCCCACACCTGGCCCTTCAGCCAAGAACAGTGCCCCCTTTGGGCAGCACCAAGCAGGTAAGGAATAGATCAAGTGGGTCCACCCACCAATTCAGGGCACAAAACTTGTGGTTCAACACTAGTGTGAAGCACAAGTGATCACCCTGAAAAGTAAGTCCCAAAGGCAAGTGACGAGGGCTGGGCATACTGAAATGCCTATGAATGAAACGTGTGCTCCTCAATCATTAAACACTGAACGCTCTCTGAGAGGCTAAACCAGCCCCTAAACCAGCCGTGGGCAAACTACGGCCCGCGGGCCGGATCCGGCCCGTTTGAAATGAATAAAACTAAAAAAAAAAAAAAAAAAAGACCGTACCCTTTTATGTAATGATGTTTACTTTGAATTTATATTAGTTCACACAAACACTCCATCCATGCTTTTGTTCCGGCCCTCCGGTCCAGTTTAAGAACCCATTGTGGCCCTCGAGTCAAAAAGTTTGCCCACCCCTGGTCTAAACCCATCAACAGGGTGGTCGGACAGCTGAGAAGCGGCTTGATGGATTGCCACCTAGTGGTAATCCAGAGTGACAGTTCATTCAATTCTTACCTTTCTCTAGACTTTAGATGGAAACCATCTTTTCCTAAAGTCTCCAAGTTCTTATTTAAAATGGCCTATTTTCAGGCAACATCTAACAAAGACCTGAGCAGGAAGTGAGAAGGCCTGGTCGGCTCCGGGTCCAGTGAGAGTGCTGCCAGGCTTCCCTGGCGCAGAGCTTGCAACCCAGCTCTTGCTCCACTGGCACACGGTCAGGGTCAGAGCAGCGGTGGGAGGAAGTGTCCTCTACCCCAGATGCCTGCATTCCAAGTACACAAACTGAAGTGGAATGAGTTAGCAGAAAAGCACTTCATCTTCTGAGACCCCTCTAGCTCTGGGAACTTAATAATTAAAACCTGGAAGCAGCTGGTAAGTACTTGTCAAACTGGGCTCAGATGGGCAGGAAAGGACCCTTCCCGCTGGGTAAGAATTCAGTTTCAGCCTTGAGCCTCCGGCAGAGGCCCCATCCCCGGGGCCTGGGGAAGAGGAGGACAGCATCCCTATTTTTGGGCACTATTCCCTGGATCAGAATGAAGGGGTTTGTCTGTTATGCAATTTAGAGTTGCTCCCTGCAGACTCAAACAGGTTCTGAGAGAAGTACAGCCAGTGGCGCTTGGTAATCTCTCCCTTCTCCGTAGGAAAACGGGGTTTTACGAATCTCTCATGATACTTCTACCTGCTGGGCTGATCGCACTAACGGAGCCACTTACAGATCTACAGTGTGCCACCTGAGACTATCAATCTTGAGAAAGAGATTCAAAGATTGGGAACTGGAGCTTCTAGGCCTGTTGGGGTTCTCCTGAGATTTACAAAGGGGGAAAGAGGCCAGCAGGCAGCCACTCAGCCAGGACAGAGGCTCGGTCCTAGAAGCCAGGTCTTGGGAAAGGCAGCTCAAAGGCTTCTCTCAACCTAGAGCCACCCTCCCTTTAAAGCTGGGACAAGAAAGGGACAAAAGCAGCAGGCAAATGTTAAGTCACCTTCAGACACAGAGCCACCATGGAAGTTCTGGGACTTCTAAGCAGAACACCCCTCCGAAGCCAGCTCCACAGGCTGCACGAAGTAGAAAGAGCAAAGACTCAGAGTCGGATAGAACCAGGTAAGTGACCCCCAGGAAGCTCACGTACCCGCTTTGAACTCATGTCCCTCATGAACGGTGAGAGGTGGACTTCTGTTTGGACGTGAAGACGGGAAGACTAGAACTTCCTATACAAATGGGGGTTAGCACCTGCACCGAAAAGCATTCTGGCTCTCAGAGTGTTCCCAGGAATCTGTGTCCACTGGTGTAGACTGTTTCTGCAAAAATATGGTTCACGCTGAACACTTGCTTGCTTCCTAGGAGCCTGGTATTGTGGTGTGTGTTAAGCAGAGGGTGCTTACATGACCAGCAGCCAAAACTATCTTGGGTGCTGAGTCTCTAATGGGTTCTCTTTCAGAATCATCTTGGGCACACATGTTGCTGCATTTTGTTGCTGTCATAAATCTTAGTCGTGAGTACAATTATATGCTAGTCCTTCCAGCAAGTCTCTGAATGTGGGGTCGTCTTGGGGACCCAACACAGTGTCAGTAATACATACCTGCGCCTAACATGAGCCAATAGCCGTACCCACCCAAGAAGGCCTGTGTCATCACCTCGCTAGAAGTGAGGTTACAGACAGAAGACGAGACTGGGTCAGCAACCCGATAAACCACCCAACCCCTAGAAGAAGGAGGTCACCAGAGGGAGAGAAATGTCACTTATTCAAAGCCCACTGGGAGCCAGTCGTCATCCTAGGTGCTCTATCTTCATGATCTCATTTCCTTATCATCACAAAAGTATTATCGCCCCCATTTTTTAGATTAAGAAACAGAGGCACAGAGAGACTGAGTAACCAGCCTGAGGTCACACAGTGAGAAGAAGCCAGCATCAGGCTGGCTGAGGGCTGCAGAGACTGCGGAGTCTGCTCTTCCCAGCACCCACTGCCTGTCTCGCTGCCACAACCTCGGCCTGTCAGGCTGCTTGGCTGGCCCTAGTCCTTGCTCTGCCAAGCAAGTCATGAGAAGTTTTCTGGAAAGCTAGAGCAGAGAGGGAAACAGGGCATTTTAGACCAAATGATCCTTATCATCTGCGTTTGATATTTTTCAAATCATCCGTCATCTCATGTGACTCTCATAACCACCACGAGCTGGGCAGCCTGGCAGACACCCTCCTTTCAGACAGGGAAAATGAGGCCCAGCGAGGGCCAGGTGGCCAGGGCAAGGGCAGAACTTGACCCAACGTCTCCTTCCAATATCCCAGGGCCTGGCACCTAGGAGGAACTCAGTAAATACCTGCTGGCTGGCTGAATGACAATTCAATACCAAGTAAAAGTGGATTAACAGGAAAACAGAAGTACATCTTCTGAATTGTCATCTTTCAAATTGTTTTTCTTTAAAAAGAAATCTGCATAGTACTGACCAGTCAACAAAGAACTCCAAGTAACCTTCATTTGGCTTCTCCAGCTTCGGCGTCCCCATCTCTGCTTTCACTCCCACCAGGATGTCCGTGTGACCCTGCAGACATATGCGAGAAGGGTCCTCACTCCGGGCAGGCAGCCAGGCACCCGACCACCTCCCTTCTCCCCCTGACGTACACCCCTGGGACTCTCTTAAGAGCAGTGCTGGGGTCGGAAAGTGACCCTTTGAGAAGATGAGGAGTCCTTCAGATCTAGAGAGTCCCCCGCCCAGAGTTTGGCTTGGGTCTTGGATTTTCCCCTAAAATCTGTGTGGCAAAAGCCTGGAGGGGCCTGCGGCTGGTCCCGTAGGTCCTCCCCATTCCTCCAGCGAGGCTTGGGTGGACCGTGGCCACAGCACTCACCAGCTTGACCCTGGCAGACCCACTGGTGTTGGACACCACGTCGGTTTCCACTTCGACACATCGGTAGTCCTCACATCCACGGCCATCCACGCGGAGGTCTTCCTACGTGCAACAACCACAATCCGCAGGCTGTGATCCCAAACCAACAACAGACCCCTCAGGCAATTCACCCCTTTCCTTCCCCTAGAGCAGTGGTTCTCAACCTTCCTAATGCCGCGACCCTTTAATACAGTTCCTCATGTTATGGTGACCCCCAACCATAAAATTATTTTCATTGCTACTTCATAACTGTAATGTTGCTACTGTTATGAATCGTAATGTAAATATCTGACATGCAGGATGTATTTTCATTGTTACAAACTGAACATAATTAAAGCATAGTGATTTATCACAAAAACAATATGTAATTACTAGAGGCCCGGTGCACGAATTTGTGCACGGGTGGGGTCCCTTGGCCTGGCCAGCGATCAGGGCTAACTGGGGCAGTCTTGCCCAGTCTTGGGGGAGGGACTGCAGGAGGTTGGCTGGCCAGCACGCGTAATAGCGATCGGTCGACCAGTCGTTCAGTCGACCAGTCATAACGGTCACTTAGGCTTTTATATATATAGATATATGTGTTTTCCGATGGTCTTAGGCGACCCCTGTGAAAGGGTCATTCAACCCCCAAAGGGGTCGCGTCCCACAGGTTGAGAACTGCTGCCCTGGAGAAATGTGCAGTACATCTTCCTTTCTTAGTGAATCGGCCAAGCTTGCCAACCCTGATGCTGAAGATGGGTTTCAGAGTGGACCAGGTAGTGCTTGTTCCTTATCTTATTTACTTCTTCAATCACTTACTATGTCAGTGTTAGCTCACAGATGTCTTTTATAGCTATAATCCAATACTTTCATTATTCATCTTGTAGCTCCAGATATGGCCCCTGGGAGCTGCTTTGGGTGGGTTCCTGCGTTCTTTTAACATGCCTCCAATCTTTTTTGAGCACTTCTTTATGTTCCAACAACATAAGACATCCCAGGGTCTTGTATTTTCTCTGCCCCTGCCCCGGAATCAGCCCTTTCTCCAAGGAGTGCTGGTTACTTTTACTGGAGAAAAACCAGGATCTGAGTGCTAAGTCGGTTCGTTGCTGCAGGGGTATCATTGCTTCTAGAGCTTCCCAGCAGATAGAGCTAGAAAACCTATGTATGTACACTAACCCATGCACACACAAACACACACACACCTGTAGTTATTTCTGTCTATTCACATATCTATTAAAAAGCCACGTTCTCAAGCTGATAATTGTTTCTAACCTTCCTCCTGTCCTAGGTGTAACTTCTCTCTCAGACAGGGAGAAACCTGGCTTTCATGATCTATAATGCATTTAGGTATTTGTTAAATCTTAGTATACACATAGTTTCAGAACTTCTAACCCATACCCCGTGAGAAACAAATGTTCTAACAGAGAACAGTATTACACAGAATTCTTTTTGTCTTTAGCCTATGATACCCACTCAAAACACTGTTTTCCAATTGTCTTCCCCCATCCCTCCATGCAGCCCTGTTACTCATTTGCAGCAGTCTGTGTTCCAGTCTGGGTCCCCCACATCCTGGTTACTTTTAATTACTTATTTACTTTTTGGGTATGTGGACTATCACCATGGCTCTGGGAGTCAAAGCCATCAGAAAAGGTGTGCTCAGAGAAATGTCACTCCCAATGCATCCCACTCCCCTCTCCCACCACACGAGGCAGGTAACCAATCTCTTTTGTTCCCAGGCCATCTTTTCTGTGTTTCCTTTGCACAAATGAGCTGATACATGAATATTGTAAATATCCCCTTCTTACATAGGGTGGCCTACTACTGATACTCTTTGTTTCTTTTTAACATTTTATTTATTTTTAAAATATATTTTTATTGATTTGAGAGGAAGGGAGAGGGAGATAGAAACATCAATGATGAGAGAGAATCATTGATCAGCTGCCTCCTGCACACCCCCTACTGGGGATCGAGCCCACAACCCATGCATATGCCCTTGACCAGAATCAAACCTGGGACCCTTCAGCCCATAGGCAGACGCTCTATCCACTGAGCAAACCAGCTAGGGCTTACACTTTTCATATGCATGAAATCATTCCCTGTCAGCTAGCTCATAGAGATCTTCCTCCTTTGTAAACACTGAAAGCAGTTTATTTATTTTTTCCAGAAAAGGAATCTTTAGAATCAGATTCTCAAAGGGGTTAATGCTCCTCCAAACACTAACAAATACAGTCCTGAAGCGTGCTGTCAGAGGCTTATCTTTAAATTACCTGGCTAACTGCACGTGACTGACCTTTTTATCTTGAGCAATTAAAATATAAACAGGCAAAACACTGCATGCTCCCACCACACAGAACCAACTACCATTGGTCAGGTGTGTTTCAGGTTTTTTTTTGTTTTTTTTTTTTTTACTCTCTCAACTCCTGCAAGCCCCTCCACTTCCTAGAGTCCCCTCCCTGAAGGCAATCCCTATCTGAGTCTGGGGAGAAGTGGACTTAAAAAGTAACAGGATTTCAAGTCTGGGAGAATGAGCCTCTGGGGAGAACTCAAAACTATGTAACTGTCTCTTCACCACCCGCCACCGAACACACAGCTTTCTAGGTCAATCTCTGACTCCCGTTTGCCACATCCCCCGGATGTGCCCGGCTAGGAAAGTGAAAACCTGGCCCAGAAACATCACTCACAAGGGACCCTTCACAGGCTGCAGGCCTGGTACAAGTGTGAGCAATCACAGGAGCATCAGTCACGGGTTCCAGGCCTGGTCCTGCCATAAACTAGCTGCTTGACCTCTAGGTAGGACAGGTCCCTCCCCCGATAGACTAGTTTCCTCATTTACAAAAGAGGACGTGGAAGTGAATGGCCTCAGAGGTGCTTCTCTAATTCTACAGATCTATACACCAAAATAGCCACAATTATTTGTAAAAACTAATAGTAACTATTTTGTTTTAATCCTCACCCGAGGATTTTCCCATTGATTTTTAGAGAGAGTGGAAGAGAGAGGGAAGGACAGAGAGAAGCATCGATGTGAGAGAAACACATCAATTGGTTGCCTCCCGTGGGAGCCCCTACCAGGGCCTGGGCCGGGGAGGAACCTACAACCAAGGTACGTGTTCTTGACCAGAATTGAACCCGGGACCCTTCAGTCCACAGGCTGACGCTCTATCCACTGAGCCAAACCGGCTAGGGCAGTAGTAACTACTATTTAATGTGCATTTACCATATATGAGATAATGCTCTAGAAACACTCCACAGTTAACACACTGAATCCATTATGCAAACAGAAAAATGGTTGAAGGATGCTAAATGGCTGGCCCGGGGTCTCACAGCCAGTAAGTAGCACTTTAATTCCAAGCCAGATAAGTAGCACTTTAATTCCAAGCCAGAGCTCTTCGCCACCACTCCACACCACCGGCTGCATTCTAAAGGGTCTCTTCACTGTGCAACAGGACCCCACAGGCCTCCCTCACAGGATGGACTGGCTGGCTATACCAGTTGGTCTTGATGATGGTGATAACGGCTCTGAAAGCAAGGAGACCTCAAGCCTACAGGGCTTCCAACTACTGCCTTAAAACACCACTCATTCTGGGGAGATCTAGCCACACCCCTTTGTAGTAACAACCCACACACTTGTTCCAGGATGGGGTGGGAAGTGGGGTGCTGGTGGTGGTAAAAAACTTGGGCCTGGCCAGATCTTGCCTTTCCAGCCTTCAAATCACATCTGCCCCAGGGAAATGCTCAGCGGTAAAGGTTCAAGTGACAAGAGGCAAACAAAAAGCTGCAAATTTTCCTTTCAAAGGATACATCAACTACAAATTTTTTTTCATAGAAAAAAGCACTCAAAAGAATAGAAGATCAAACCAAAAACACCAAACAAACTAGTCCACGAGTCACTGCACGCAGGGCAACTTTTTTTTTTAATAAAGTCCAGTTTTCCTCCTAACAGACAGGAAATCACCCAAACCTGCGCGGCCTGGCTCATGGCCTGACACCCTACCACGATTTTTATTCACCTGCTGTCCTCAGGAGCAGGGGAACGCATCCGTGTGTGAACACGTGAGAACAGGGGCTGCCCTGAAGTGAGGCTTCATGTGAAAACCAATAGAGATGTCAACAAATGATGGGCCGCACCTTGGGGAGCCCGGTCCTTCTCAGCAAGCGACAAAAGACCTTTTCAGATCCAGGGCTTCTGGGTGATGGGATGGCTCCGGTGCCTTTTAGGTTGCTACCTATGTGATCATGACCTGCCGGTCGGGTGTGGTGTGGAGTCACCTCCAATCTGTATTTAATCCTCTGCTGTCACAGACCAGCTTTGTGACCTTGAGCAAGTTCCTCAACGGCTCTGAGCCTGTCTCTTCACCTAGAAAGCAGGACTAACCCTGACCTTACAGAGTTACAGGAGAATCTGAAAACCCTAAATCATTTACGGGGACCTTTCAGTTCAGTCTAGCACATGGCAGTCCATAGGCAGTTCCCTTCTCCTGCTTCTGGGGGAAGGTATCCGCTCACCGAATCCTCAAAACCCTGAAGAGAGGTGTCAGATAAGGATATTGAGTTGAGGCACCACAATCTCCTGTTTGTGACCAAGTGGAAGGACATGTGACTCAGCCCAGAGCTGCTTTACCCAGGTCACCCAGTCCTGTTTCTCCTTAATAGAAGCCGACAAGCCAGCTCTACTCATCCAACACACTTGGGAAGGTTTCAGACTCCAGAGGCCCTCTGAGGTGATGGTGCCTCGAATGACCTTGCTTTGACTTGTCCAATACCGCAGAGCTTGCTAGAGAACCGAGACTAGAACGCCTCCCCTATTAGAATACAACGCACTTAGGAAAGCGACTTTGACTGGGCCAGCATTGCAGGCCCAGGCCCAAGACACAGTGGGCAAAACTAGATATTGATCTTCTTTTTTATTTTCCTTTATTGATTAAGGTATTACAAATGTGTCCTTATCCAAGCCTGCTGAGCAGCCCCCCACCATCCTCTGAAAGGACGTGATTCCCTTCACCGTGCAGGGTGCCCGGGTGCAGCCTTTTTGTGTCATGGGTAAGAAGTGGCACAGGGCTCAGAATCAATCAGTGCCCTGCACGGCTGCCTGAGCAGCTGAGTTCTGACTGCTCAGTCTCACGGCTGAAGATCAGGCCCTGTTCTCCCTCTTCTGTGCTGCAACCCCTCCTTCCCCCCCGCAAAAAAACCACAATGCTTCCAGTTAAAGCTGGATCACAGAAAAGAAACTGAAACTATCAGCTGAGCTACACTTTCTTTCAACGGCCGAGAAAAATTCAAAGAAATGGCTTTGATGGGACCCCAAGAGGCATGCTTCTTGGTGGGGCTAATCATCGGCTGTGGCCTGCTCTGAGCCTCTGATATAATATGTACCCAACAAAAGTGGGACATCTCGGCCTCCAAAGGCCGAGAGGGGACTTAACAGAAATCAATCAAATCATATGTTAAAATATTGATTTGTCAACCTTTCCATTTGCCCTGTCCCACCTCCTCAGATCCATTCTCCATCCTTCCCTGTCCTAATCCGTGCTCCAGGTTGACTCCCTCAAAACTGCATCACCTGGACTCCCTTCGCTGATTTCTGGTTGAGTTTGGCCAATGGAAGTCATCAAAGGAAAACAGAGTGTCGTCCCCCCCCCACACACACCTGGGGCCACATTTGTAACAGTGCTTGCATCTACCCAGAGCTGTGGCAGCTCTTCCTCCATGGTCCCAGCTATCACTGGTATCTGGTAACACTATTTCCTTCTTGGGCCCCTTTGACCTAGAGGTGTTTGCTATGTCCCATGGTCACTGGTCTTTGGGCTCTTCAACATCTCTTGTTGGGTCCCTGAAATACACCCACATTGTCATAAAAGTCTCCTGAAGTCCCTGAAATACACCCACATTGTCATAAAAGTCTCCTGAATTAAACTCCATTTTCTGCCAGAGCCAAAAATGATTCATCTTCCTGCCCACAAATTGCTCGCTCTCTCTCTCTCTCTCTCTCTCTCTCTCAAGTGTGCCTCGTCCCGCAGTGGCCATGTCTGAGCCTAATGATTCTGTCCAGCAACGAGTCTGGAACTGAACTAGAAAGGCTGGTTTCGTATAGAGGGAACTGTAACCCCAGGAGCTGGGAGGTAACCAGTCTTTCCACCACAGGCCTGAGAAACAGAAAGCCAATACAAAGACTCTAAGGGAACTCAGAGATGCAATATGGCTCTAGCAGCAAAGGCATCTGGGAAATGTTGGGCTCTTAACTCTTTGTAGCCTCAGGCTTGGCTGAATACCCAGAAAACTGGAATGCTGCCCAAAGGTAAAGGCCATGCCCCCAGGAAGGAGGTTAAAGAATGTATACAGTGTGGTAACTGCCTGATGTTATCTGTTACCTTCGAAATACATTTTTTTTTCTGGTGGTCTACATGACTACCCACCATATGGTTTTACTATTAACCCTCTATAAAAAACGAGGCCCTGTCCTGGGAGGGGGTGGATTTATTCCTGGCCTGCCACCACTGGGAGCAGCTACTTTGCCGTGTAAGTTTCTCCTACTAAAGCTCTTATGAATTTGAATAAGGCTACATGCCAGATCTTCAGAATCCATCCTGAATTTAGACTTTTGGGGCTTCTGTCAAACAGAAGAGAACACAGCAAAAGCATAAAAAACAGCAGAGACAAACAAGGGAGAGCCTGAAGATCTAACTGGCCTTGCATTCTTGGAGAAACACAGCCTTCTCACAGATATACTTTTCTTGCTTGAGCCACTTCGCTGGTTAACATAACTATCAACTGAATCCTCAACACACACTGTGAGGTTACTTTCAACTGCTTCTAACTACCAACAAACCAAGATGAAATATCCCGGAAATAGTAACAGAATCAAAGGCTGAGGGCAAGGGATGCCAGAAGCTGAAACTAACCAAATAGGACCAAAGGTGAAAAAGAAAACACAAAATGATTAGGTCTTCAGAGGCAAGAACAGGATTCCTGCTAGGCATTGCTTAAGGCGCACTGCTGGCACTCAGTAACCAACTGCCAAACGTTTAGGTGATGTTAGAACTGAGTCAGCGAGATCTGTGGTGGGCTCGCTCACCTACAGTATACATGCACAACAAACTGTATATTCTGTTTTGCTCTTCCATAAATACAGAATTCCACTTTGCTGCTCCGTAAGCAGACCAAACCTGTGGCAAATGTTAACAATCCTTCCGAAGAGGTTTACTTGGTCAGTTCAGTCTGCATGGCTCTGTGACACAATCGTGGCCTTAATATGTCCATGGTACTGGTGAGAGAGAAGTTTAATTTAAAAACTGAAAACTCTGTCCAACTCATCTCCCTTTAAGGACTCCCTTACTCCATCAACGTTACCAAGTACCTACCTATCAAGTGCCGGACAATGGCTAGGCCTTAAAGGTATCATACATAGGAATTATTACCTTCCAAGATCCATGATGAGGCAGTGGCGGAGCCTCTGAGACCCCTAGGATCAAGCTTCTGGCCACCTCTGCAACCCGATCTTCCACCAATTACCCCGGTGATCGGACTCACCATCCTTTCCTTTCGGAGGACTCAAGCTTACTTAATTCTTGGCTGTGCTGAGAGCTCGGCTCAAATGCTATTTATTTCCTTCGGGGAGCCTCCCCTGACTTCCCAGAGGAGGCAGGTCCTTTTTACCCTCACGGCACTTGGTACAATTTTATATATAAATGCACAAATTGACCTGTAATTTCTGTTTTTTCCCTTCTGGCATGGGTGTTATATAAGGGCAGGCTATTTCCTATCCTCCAGTCTAGCTGTTCTAGGTGGAATGAATGAAATGCCGAGTCCAGGAGATACACAGAAGGGGCACTCAGCATGGATTTAGGAGAGCAATCCCACCTCCCTGGGGAAGGCTTCAGAGCGTTACAGCCCCCAATATCCCTTAGTCCTTTCGACTCCCACTAACTATAGCATCCCCTTGATATATACCTTATATTCCATCGTCTTTACTGTATATTCACCTTTGAAATCATAAAGGAATAAAAAAGATGCGGTTAAAGGGACGCAGGGAGAGCTGAAATGAACCACACTGAACCAAAAGTGGAAAGTAAAATACAAAATGGTTAGGTCTAGACAGGATTCTGGCTAGGATTTGGGGAGACGGCTCTAATCCGGGGAGGTTACAGACTAGGAAAGGCTCGGCTTCCCCCCGGCAGCTTAGGACCGGGCCCAGCATTCTCCAGCTCTGGCTCCGGCGGGGTCAAAACCGGGGATGGCAGGACGACCGCGGAGGAGCTCAGTGTAGTGCTAGCTGCCTCTAGGGATCTCACCTCCCCAATGGCACCTGGGAAACTGCAAATACTGTGCTCCCGGCGGGGCAGCCGCTTTTCAAACACCTCCCCTTTATCTGTAAGTCGACTTATATTTTCAAAGCGCTTTCGCCTCCGGTGCCTTCCTCCTCCCCGTGACTCCCGTCCGCTAGGGGAGGAAAGCGGACCCGAAGCCCACACCCGCAGGAGAGCCACCCGCGCCGGCGGGCGAGGCGGCCGGGGCGGCGCTCCCTCGCGAAAGCCTCGGGGATGGGCCTCCGGCTCCCCGCCGGGTTCGGCACCTTGCAGACCCGAAGGCGGCAAGTATGCATTCAGCCCTACATGGACGTTCGCCGCCCGCTTCTCAACACGCCCGAGTCGCCGGCTTAAGGCTGTTGAACCAGAAGGGAAACCCAGACCCGCCCATCCACCCGGGCGAACCGAGGGCCGGCGCCACCCGCAGGGCCAGGGGCACCGGCGGCCGCCGCCCGCGCCGCCGCGGCAGCTACCTGGACGCCGTGGACGATGTACACCTTCTCCGCCTCGCTCAGCGACACGGACGCCATGCTGCCCCGAGCCCTTGCGTCATCAGCCCGCGCCGCCCCGCGCCGACCGCGCCCCCGCTCTGCGTCATCAACCTGCGCGGCGGCCGCCCCTGTAGGCGCCACCGCCGGAGCCGGGAGCTCCATGGGCTTCTCCTGTGCGCCGCCGGGTGTCTGGCCGAGTCCAGGGAGCCGCGGCGCCTCGTGCCCGGGAGCCATCGCTGCGGCCCGAGGCCGGGTCCCAGGTCGCGGACTGCAGGGGGAGGCGACGGCGGCTGCGGCGGGAGCCTCGCCAGGGGCCTGGGACTGGGGAACTGCCTCCGACTTCATGGTCAGTTGGGAGGCGGAACTGGGGTTGGGTGGAAACGCCGGGGTGCGGCGAGGGCGCGGGCCGGGACGGAGCCGGTGGGCTCCGTGGGAGAGGCGCGCGGCGCAGTGTGCTTGCGGCTGGAGGTGAAGGAGCAGGTCGTGTGCGTGTGAAGTAGCCGGTCATGTGCTAGAGAGACAGACAGACAGACAGACACCCCGAGTGAGGGAGCGGACTTCGTGATCGGCCCGGGGGGGGGCCGTCTCCCCGCCCTCCCCTACCCCCTGGCCCTGCATTTCCCTGGCCCCTGGGGAGGTTGAAAAGAGGAGGCGATGAAGCCCGCTTTAGGTTGTTCCTGGTGGGTAGGGTCCGGGCCAGGAGTGAGCCCCGAGGCGTCCGCACTCCACCCTGGGGATTCTGCTCTCCCCTCCTCCGCTCTCGCTCTCTCGGGCTGACCTACCGCTGACCCAGGACTTTGTAGGATCCCCTTGTCCCGGCGGAGGAGAGCCTTGGTCACCGGCGCTGGCGAGCGGCGCAGTGCCCAGGCGTCCCCGGCGCTTCCCAGCGGTGGCTGGCTGGGAGCCCTGGCTTGATGGGGCGATTCTGGGAGCTGTGGACAGCCGCTTAGAGGTGTGTGCTGAGGGTAGGGGGAAACAGCCCAGGCGATGGCCGCATAGGACCATGGGCCTTGGATATCCAGAAAGGATACCTGCAAGGTGAATATGGGGTCACTGAAGGAGCCCATTAAGGCGGGGCAAACGGGGTATGGTACAGTTTTTAAAGGAGCCATGTGGAAATGCAGGAAAGTTAACCAAAAGAAGCAAAGAGGGTATCTGGTAACTTTTCCAAATGCACCCCCTCTTTTTAAAAATCTTCTCCAGAGGACATGCCTAGAGAGAGGAAGGGGGTGAGGGAGGGGAAGGGGGAGAGGGAAACATCTGTGTGAGAGAGAAACATCCATCCCATGCCCTCCGCATGCTCCCTGAGCAGGGATCCCAGGCACTTGCCCTGACCAGTAATAGATGCAGGTGCATAGACGACGCCCAACCAACCCAACTGGGTCCAAATGTTCCATTTTTTTTTCAAGAATCTTCTTGTTTTCAAAACAAGATGGCTTGATCATCCAAAAAGATGTTTGGTGTTTTGCAGACGGTATCTTCAGTACAGTTTCACAGATCTGAACTATTGTGAGCTTACTATGGATGGGCTTTGGGCCAGCTTTGGAACCCTAAGACAAGCGAAACACAACTTCTGCCCAGATACCCTCCCCAGGCAGAAGGTGGGGCTCCAGGGCCAATGTAACCGGAGAACATGGTGGTTAAGAGCTACGATGGTGGCGCTAATGAGCACAGTGGGATAGGGAGGTGGGTCAGAGGAAGAAGGTACAGAAAGAAAATACCCTCCCACATTGTTAAGCACTAAACTGCTGATTCCCCAAAATACAGAGATGATCACTTCTTAGTAGACTAGACAGTAGTTGTTTCTTATGTCTCTACATAGATCTCTACAGGGAAGATGGCTTGCAGGGGAGGACTTTGCCCTCCAGGGAAATTGGAAAAGGTGAAGCTGGAAGGGTTTCCTTACAAATGAAAGCAGAGGCACCCCAGCTGTTGTGGCACATAGATGCCTTTGTGTGTGGTTGGACGCCTGGATTCCATGTGAGAAACTCTGGGATGAGATATCGAGGGACTGCTGGTATTAAACGGGGTGTTTTGTGCTAGAGGTTGCTCAGAAAGGAGAGACCCTGGATCTGGAATCTTAGTAGCTAGGATATTTAAGAGGACTGGAGATTTAAAAAGTGGAAGCAAATGGGCAGATCAGAAAAGATACAGAAAGAAGAGTCTGAGTTTGGAAACCATGGAATCATCTCTATATAAAAATCTTTAAAATATAGAACATCTCTGAACTGTTTCCCTGACAACTGACTAAAAGTTCCTTGATGGAGAAGGTTTGGCAGTATGTGCTAAATAATATTATGAATGATGTCAGACATGTTAGGCTAAGTAGGTGAGAGATGGAAACAGTAGAATGTTCATTCTAAATTCTCTACTAAAACAATGACACCTTCCCTAATTGTTCTACTTCAATGCCACCAGGACATTTCATCCCACCCCATTTGTTGTGATAAAGCATTAGACATTTTTAAAATATATATATTTTTTATTGATTTCAGAGAGGAAGGGAGAGGGAGAGAGAGAGAAACATCAACGATGAGAATCATTGATCAACTGCCTCCTGCACGCCCCCTACTGGGGATGGAGCCTGTAACCTAGGCATGTGCCCTTGATCAGAATCGAATCTGGGACCCTTCAGTCTGCAGGCCAACGCTCTATCCACTGAGCCAGACCAGCTAGGGCAAGCATTAGACATTTTAAAAACCCATAAATTCAGAGTTCCTTTTTGGTTTATTGAAGCAATTTAAAGAATTTATGTTAGCCAGAAAATCAAGAAGCCAAGGATAGCACATTCTATTAAACCAGCTAATTTTTCCATTACTGTCAGATTCTTTGGGGAGCATACTGTTTTGTAGGTCTGTCTATTCTAAATCTCTGTGCTCTATTAATTCTGTTTAACACAAACTTGCCTAGTGATTATTATATGCCAAGAACTGTTTTAAAACACTTTACAAAGATTATCTGATTCAGTTCTCACAATAGTTCTATGAGACAGCTACTGCTATCTCTGTTTTACAGATTGGGAAACTGAGGTGCAGAGAGGGTAATTGTCTAGACCAGCAGTCGCCAACCTTTTGGACCTGATCCTCGGACCACCAGTTGGCCAACCACTGGTCTAGACCAAGGTAGTAAGTGGTGGAGCCAGGATTTGAGACCAGATAATCTGGCTCCCATACTTGTACACCTAACCATCCCTTTGGGCAGTCTCTCCCCAGGCCCCATTACATTCACTGGAGTATTTGCTGAAGGAGGCCTATGTTGGCAATGGAATTGGTAACTGCCTTATAAGCTATAGTTTGTTTAATGTTAAAAGCAAGGAGTCTGTTCAAACATAAACTCCCATCTCTGAAATCTTTTTTTTTTTCAGAGGAACATAGAATGTGGTGCTAATGAGAAATTCCTGTCTAACACCTTTCAGATGAGGTTACACACCTTTTCTCTCATCTAAAAGGCTGAGTAGAGCTTAACCCAAAGGAGCTGAGGAGGGCACTCAATAGCAGCGTGGACCAATGGATCTGGTACGGAGGATTGAGATAGGCATGGAGATCCAATTCCAATCATGTGCTTTACACCCAGAATAGACTCCTAGAAGCTCTTCAGACAAGCAGGAAGTAGTTGTTTGCATGCTCATGAGTAGTGTGCTCAGGGCCTGAAGAGGTAAACTGAAAACACATGCCTCCCTAAAAGAAGTTCAGAACTTGTAGCTGGAGAGCCCAGGCACTTGAACTAGTGCATGAACAAGACAATAAAATAAAATGCTCAGTTGAGACTCGTGGTAATTAGACAAGAGGCCAGCCTATAATAGGTGCTAATTGTGCTGGCCAGGTATCAAGGGCAAGAGGTAAAGACCTGCTGCTAGCCACCAGCCGGCAACAAAAACCTAGCTGTGGTTCATTAAAGCAGTAAAAGCCGGGGACAGAGGAGCTTCGGGGCAGAGTCCGTGGTGCTGAAGTTACGGAAAGCTCCTATAAGCCCAGCAGAGGAACAAACATTTTATTCCCAGTCGTAAAAGAGGTAGCCAAATTTTAGGTCTTTTTCCTTTGCATTTTCACAATTAGCCTAGCACCCCAGAAAAGCAGAAGTGTGAGCTACTGTTTTCTCTGTAGATCTGTTTCCTATAAGTACTTTGCATTTGTTATGCCTGTATTTTGTCTTAAAGAATATTCAATATAAGTAACCTGTCGTAATCTAGCCAGTAGGTCTGTGTCTGTCTTGCTGTTCTGGAAATTATAGCTTACGATCACATTGATAGAAAAATTGATAGGAATACATGGATAAAACTTATTCTCATTTAGAGGAAGGGTCTTCACAAGTGTGCTTCATTTTGAGAGGGTGGCCCTGCATTAGGGCATATGTGCAAAAAGGGGGTCACATATGGTGACTAAGCACATACACACCCGGATAGCCATAGAAAGTAACAGAATCTGAAGCAGAAATAGGGGAGTGATGTGAGGATAATGACCTGTTGGGAGGGGAAAAAAGGGTCTGCTTACATACTTCCTCTAGTTACTTCCTGTTTTTACGTTTTTAATCCTTTGCCTTCCTCTTTGGAAGCAGATTTCCAGAGACACATGGCCAGGTCATTTCTGGCGGTGAAGGTGCAGTGAGCTGTGAAGGTGAGAAGGCTCCATTTGCATGCCCCACCTAATAGTCATTCATCCAGGAAAACCACATCTTTTCATAGTTTTCTCCAAACTGCAAACTTCCTGGTATGTAGAGACTTGGCGATTGAACTCTGGACTTTCTTGGTACCTGAGACGTGAATATTTCCTCTGCAGGGTCCATGGGGATGGAACACCTTTGGATGGAATCGATTTTTCACGTTGGTAAAATGAGCCTAGTGGGAGAAGTCCAGTCCCGTTGCAATAAGTTTTAACTTTGCTATGTACGAAGTATACATTTCTAAGCCAAGAAATAGTAGCAGGGAATCTAGAAAGGCAGGTTGGTTGGGAAGATAAGGATCTATGGTGGCAAGACGATTGGGCATCCACTCCAATGATGTGTACTTTGCCACTAACTAGTTCTGTGACTTAGAGCAACTCAGTTAACCTCTCTAAGCCTCATATTAC